ACTTTGATAGATATGGAGGGCTATCATGTGCACCCCTCAGAAACATTGTTTACCCTATACTTATGTGATCTTCCATCGATATGCTGCAAACAGCAGTACATGCATGTCCCATTTCCCCCCTTCCTCTAAAAATATTTCATGGGGAAGTCAATACTATTAAATTCGGTAGCAGTTCCTTCCAAGGAGGTGTGCTTTGCATCATAATGGATTCAGGTTGCTGCATTCTATTACACAAATACAGCCACTCCATGCAAGAATGTGAACACTAAAAGTGGTCATGGAGATGTCAGCCATGAAGTTGTCACTCTGATTAGGCAGCAGTAGCTCATTATGTCCTCCCATTACGGACACAGAATTCTTCTAGCTGAAAGAGGAAATGAATGGGAACTCTGTATTTCTGGCATGATGCAGTATTGGACATGAGTGGCTGCAATACCCTGTGCAAAGTTATGCACCCACAAACTTAATCAGAATCAGTGTGACTTGCAAACGCTCATCAAGAAGCAGGACTGTAAACAAGAAACCTGTTCCACAGCTTAGCTAAGCCAAACGGGTCATGTACTGGTCATGGCAGGAATCCCCTTTTGCCCCTGCTTTGAAGCTGAGTTCAACATATGATGTTTCTACAGTTCTGACTGAAGCTACAGCTTTGACTGTCACAAGTGAAGCACCTGGGAAGTTGCTTGAAAGTTGAGTAAAACTCCCCATAATAAATAAAAGGTATTACTCAAATAATGTGATGCGTTCTAGGCAGCTCTACATGAGGCCCATTTTAAAATGATGTGAAATAATGAGCAGCTGCATAAAGACAGAACTAACCTGAGTCCTAGCACGAGCAAAGGCCTACCCACTAACATTCTCTCAACATATTATGCTACCTGAGGCAAAGGGCACAATTCTCCTGTCTCACATGCCATGCATAGAAGCACACCAGAATGGCAGCTGACTCTTGCTTCAACGCTGAGGGCAGAACAGCATTCTCCACTGCATTGGAGAACAGCAGGGTTTTTACTATGGTTGTTCTGGCATGTCATCTGAACCCTGTTGTGGTATTTCAGCATGGTATGTCTGTAGAAACCACACACAGAAACAAAGGCCAGTTCTGTGGCTTCCTAGTGGCTTTGTGTCATCCAAACACACCTCATTGCAATAGCTAGGCCAGAACCAGGGAGCTGCTTGCCAAGAGCAACTCATCGCCGCTGTAACCCAGGAGTGCCATCAGCAGCTGCCATTTTGTTCCTGCCTCCCGCCCTAAGGGATCCCTTTGGTGCAGGAACGGTCAATCAGCCGGGCGGTGCTGCAGAAAGGAGCAGCGCTGCTCAGTTAATTCCTCTGCTGCCTCCCATGCACACCTGATAGAAGCCCCTCCCAGGCACAAGCAGGAAGGGAAATCAGCTGGGTGGTGGGCTGATTCCCCCACTGCCCCCATTCTCACTCCTGCTTGCCGGAGAGTCATCCCCAAGCCAGGGCCTGCTGCATGAGTGTTGGGCTGGAAACATCTCTGTGTGTTTGTCAGGAAGGTGCTCGAGTGGGCCTCTGGTTGTAGACTCCTCTCTCTCAAGCAGGAGTAAGAAAGGGGGATGAGTGAGTTTCTCATTGCACACTTGCACATGAGGAGCTCCCCTCAGGCGCGCACGGAGCTGGGCAACAGGAAAGTCAGCTGGGCCGTGCCGCTCCTTTTGGCAGTGCCACCCTTCCCTTTGCCTGAGCACGGACCAGGCATCCCTCCTCCCGCCCCAGTGGGCCCCCTTGGCAGCAGGTGCCTGACCAGCCTCCTTGTCCTCTCTGCTGTGCTTTAGGGCATGAGCCCTGTTTGCACAGCAGAGACTACTTGAAAACTGAGAGGCAAGGAGGTGGTGGGAGGAGAGTTACCACCATGAGCTTGATTGTCAGGCACATCGAGGTAAATAACCATGAACTGTGGTAGCCGTGCAGATTTACGATGTGGGGTTGTGACCTGACTTGGGATGCCCAGAAAAGGCTTGCCCTGATCATGTCCACACCTGCGCCAGCCTCAGCAGAATAGCATACCACATAAATACAGTGGTCCCACATTCTACCAAGCTGCAGTTGAGGAGGGTCTTCCATGGTTAGGCACCCCAGCAGGGTTGATCAAATAAAGACTCTTGCACGTCCAAAGAAGTTGTGAGGAACTGCGTAGTCTAGCCTCATCTCTCCAACAGGTGGACTCACCCTAATGTAGCATTTAGCATGCATGAGAAGAGGCCATGCAAGTGCACCAACATGACTGGCCATTAATGCCCTTGTGTGGGGAGGAGCTGAATGCAAATAGGCCAGTCCATGCCTGGAGCCCCCCGCTTCTCGTATGTGCTGTGCGCAGTGTCATTGGAGGGCCTGACTCCAGTGGGGTGTGGCTGGCAGGCACAGCCTTGGCGCTCCCCCTCCATATGTGCTCACGTGTTGCATGAATTGTGCAGGACTTCAAATTGCACGGTGGAACCTCCACCAGCACACCTGGCTGCCCGTTCAGATCATTATTGCGCAACAGTTTGGAGTGCTCGCCAGAGGCATGAGGAAAGTTATGGGTATTGAACAAAGAGTGCATTCCCTCCTTTCCTTTAGTCTTTCAGAGCCCCTTCCCATGGTTAATTTGTGACAGGATTCAAGAGAGACCAAAATCAAGGATGTTGAAAGGCCTGCTTTTTCTTCATGAGCTACGGAAGGGCTAACATCCACAGAACTTGGCCTTCCACAGCTGATGGTGGAAACCGGATGCATGCACATTTCACTGGATCCATGAGTGACTGAGAGGAGTATCACTGACAAATAGAGCAGATTGGAATGGTTCTTCTCCACCTACTCTGAGTAGGATGCTACTTTCGCTTGAACAGTGCAAACACAGCTTCTGGAGCTTCCCATAAGGCTAGGTGGCTAGAATCTCACCCTCTGAGATGTGGATAAGGCAGTCAATAGCCATTGTAATGACAAAGGCAGGCTGCCAATCCTGCCCCCACACTTTCAAGGGCTCATGGTCTTGCTAACGAACACAGGCATTGCACCTACTCAGTGTTTTCTATCTCTTCCCATTCTTTTCCTGTTGTAAAACACTGACAAACAGGACAGAGGAGGAGAGGGAGAAAGCCATGTAAGGCCACAAGTGCCACTAAGGCAGTAGGTAAATATGGTCCATGGGCCACATTTACCAAGATTTTTTCTGCACTTGCTGCCTTGATATGAACAGGAGTAACTCATGAGCATCATAGCATAATTTGGCTTTTCTGCCTCAGGAGACCCGATAGTTTGGTCTACCTAATGCTGGCTACCCTTTGGGTTAACAGTCTGTGAATCTTGCTTAGAAGCAAGTGCTAATGCCAGAACATTGTATAAAAATTAGATGTTTCCAACCCTTACTCTTGGAAGTCTAGGGCAGCATTCAGTCTCTCCCAATGCCCATTTTATCCCCACTACAATCCTTTAAGGAACTTGCGCTAAAGGATGCCCAGTAAGCCTCATGGCTAAGTAGAGCTTTGAACCCAGGTGTCCCAGGTCCTCATCTGCCCTGATTCTAAAGGACATGTTAGAAACACGTAGGGTGGCCAGATGCAGAAGAAGACATGAGTGCAGCACCTTTAATAGTTTTGTAGAATACAAATATTACCAGAGGAAACTTATAACGCACCACAACTTGTACAGAACTTTAAAGGTGCATCAGCCATGTCACCCTTTAAAAAATTTGGGTAAAATCTGTTTAAGCGTAACAAAACATTTACTTTAGGTGTACTTCTAAATTGCTAATTTCATGCTAGTTTTTCTCTCCACCACCTTTTCTTTTTAACCTTCAGATGATCTGAAAAGAAAGACCTGTTTATACTAAATAAATCTAATCATAGCATTCCCTTTTAATAGTTGAGGGAGGTACTAAGCATAATGTTCTTGGCTTTTTGATTGTTTATCTTTAAGAATTAAAATATTATTTTAAGGATTTCACAATTCAGTATAATGATCGGTGTCATTATTGTGTTTCAACTTTTGTCTGAGAGCTTCTCCATCTCATTGAAAGAAATATGTGGCAGTAAAAACTCGACAGCCATTTGACAATATATGCAAATGTGTTAAATAGCTTTGAAGCAGACAAGAAGAAAGAGTGTCTCTCCCAATAAGCTTGGATGCATACGAAGTCTTTTCCATAATGAACGTGGCAAGATTTTAACAAAGGGCATGCATAATAAAAATGTAAATGAGTTTGCTTTACCAAAAGTATAACTTTAAAGTCTTTTGTTGTGTGCTGTCCTGGAACTTTCCTACAAGGTTATCACTGTTCGCATGGAGATTTAAACCAGCGTCTTCAATGGCATTTAAAAAAAAAGCCCAACCTCAACGCCTATGTGTGACGTGCATGCAAAGCTACCTTAATGTTCAGAATATGAATTGCCTCTGGGTGGCTCCGGCGCTCAGCAGAAAACCAACTGTGTTGGTATCAGGCTGCCTGATGGACTCCATGTGGCTCCCAGCCTGGAAATTTCACCAGTTTGACGTGTGATGTGCTCCTCATGGAAATGGCAGTGCTGTCACTGAGAGGCGGCACAAAGGCAACAAGCCCCCCTTCTCCTTAGCGGTGCACTTTGCAACCCCCTGGAGTTGTCTGCCCATGGTTTCTCCTGCCTGCCTAGTTACGGACAGTGCTTCATAAACACAGAGAGAAGCGTGGGTGGATAGACCCCAGCTGCCTTCCTGGACGCAGGCTCCACAATAAATTGGCCTGAATGATGAGGGCAAACAAACAGTATGATCTGCATTATTCCCGTCAATAACCCATCCCCATGTGTTACGGTCTTTGTACATAGAGTGCCGCAGCCTTTCTTCCGGCAAGTTCTATTTAGTCTCCCAGTTTCCCCTCCCATTCATATTATAACTAATATGACAGGATTCAGAAATGTTTATGATAGCTGCATTGTATAATTGTTGTGTGCCCTGGCGGCATTTTTTCCTCCCCTTTTATGCTTCATGCTTTAGAAATAGACAGCTTCTTAATCTTTCAGCTTCTTCATGACAGAGACATTGAAACTGAGTTGCTTCAGCAAGAAAATTGGGAGTTAAAGGAACAAATGGCTAGCCAGTTACAAAAATTTACACGCCTTCAGGAGACTCTGAAACGCAGAGAGAAAGAACATGCTGCTTTAGGTAAACTTCCTCGCAGAACAAGAAATTTGAGTATATATGTATGTGTATGTGGATATAGACATATCGGTATATATTTCTACACACACACTGAGTAAATTAACATTCAGAATAGACATTGGGCCAAAAATTATGGTACAGTTATTCTTTAATGTTTCCAATTTCCTCTGTGATTTGAGGTGATCTGAGTTTTTTCAGACTAAGTGGAAAATAAGCATTTGTTTCAGCATTTGTTTATTTTATTATATTACTGATGAGAAAAGGTTGTTAGCCATGTGATCGTTAACACTTGTATATGTACAATTCAAATGGATGATGTTGTACAGTAGTACTCTTATTTTTTTCCTCCCAAAACCATGCTATGATAATTATTTATACTTTTAATAAGGCCACACCTTTTATTGACTATCATGTAATACCCGTCTTATGATGAAGTTTAAGAAAAATGTATGATTACAAGGCAAAGTTATTAAGATGCATCTGTTCTTTGGTGTACTGCTATTTGTGTTGGTTGTTTCTAGTCAAGTCAGTTATTCCAGAACCTGAATTCTTTATATATTTTTCTATTTCTTCTTAAAATAATGCTTGAATTTATGCTATCTTAAAAATGTGTGTGCATATCTAATAATGTCAAATATCAATGCATCCAGGTAGGGGTGTGGGTGTGTTTGTGATGATGAGCACTGTGCAGTATACCTCTCATAGATGCACAGATAACAATGCAAAGTTAGACATGTATGGGTGTAGAATATTTCTGTCTCCATATTTTTGTATAGATATATGTTAAAAGGGGCTTCCAGGGCAGTTAGCAAGCTTTACAACAGTGAAGTGCTTATTAAAACAAGACAGAAGAACAGCAAATGAGCTATGAAAGAAATATTGCAGCATACAGAATTAAGGGAATAACAGAGCAATAGCACTGGACAAGAATATGAACTTAATGTAAAGCCTGTATTATAATAAGGTGATATTATTGCCTCACATGATGGTGTCTTCCCTCCCTCCCCAATCTTCCGAAATGTGGTTTGAGTAATAAAGAACCACCTGCTAAAGCACTTTGTATTAGCTGTGACTAACAGCAAGGATGTCCAAAGCTAGTGTTAATAAAAAGCAATGAGCACTCAGGCACACTTGGCTCTTGAACTTATTTCTTAATTTCCCTCTCTGGCCAGCCAGATGAACAGCAGGAAGGAGGCTGTGAAGGTCAAGGGCAGTGGTGAAGGTCATGGGTCTGCCACTGCCTTCATCCACCATGCATTCCAGTGGACGTACAGACTGACCCGTACTGCACCGTATGAATCTCTTTAAATAGCCATGTAATTTCATGGTCTGCTTTATCCCCCCTGCTCTCGCCTCTTTCAGAGTCTGAAATGAAACATATGCAGGAGAGAAAGGAAAGAAATATGAAGACAATTGAAAAGGTACTGTATTGTTTATTTACCCCTTGACAGTGATGGATTAGCTAATACAAAGATGCAAGAGCCTGGGAGTTATTAGCCCCATGTAGCTGAATTTTCAAAGGCTGATCATCCTCCCAACTTTTCCAGTGTACAAGTTAAGTTTTATGTAGCTCTTCATTGTTCAAGAGAAGCTGGTATTCTTTTCTTTAAAAAAGATAGCTACTGAGGGACTTGAGCCGGAAAATTCACATCCTGAGACCAAGGCTCACCTGGATCAGGGGCAGAAGGGAAATGGGGAGATGAAACATCGGCTTCTGCCATTGACAGGCAGTGTGAAGCCTCTGGATTGGCCAGGTTTCTTATCATTCCTCCTAACAGTAAACTTAGGTGGCTGTGTACCAGTCAGATTGGAGGCAAAATAGTGAAGTGGTTTCTGCATATTCAGGGGACTCTCTAAGTATGCAGAAATGGTTTGCAATAAAATGAAAAATTACATCTTTTAAATCCCCCAAATCACTCAGCAAGCATCCATGTGGTCCCAAGATTTACAGGAAGTTGATTGCAGCTGACCCTATGGAGAGGGGAGAAAGTATTCTAAAGAACAGAGATGAAATTAGTTAATTGTAGACTGTGGTCTTAATTTATCTTACAAGGGGGGGCAGCTGTTTTTAGATTGCAATGTGTTGTACTTCCATGACTTCAACATATGATAAAGCAGTTCTGCTGTATTTGGGGTCTCTTCTGTTATAATCTGAATCCTCACAATCATATTTTAAATTTTAGCTAATGAACACTCAAGAAATACTCAAGTTAGAACTTGACAGGGAGAAGCAGAGAGTTTTATCAAAAGCTCGGGTAAGATCCTGAACAAATAGTTTAGTTAAAACAATAAACTATTATCCAGAATGTTTGATGAACCAGGACATTACTATGCCCTATAGTTTTTCTTCCTCTGCACTCACCACCTGGTAAAATGATTGGAGAGACTGAATTGGTGTTCCAGTCTGAAAAAGTGTATCATGTTATAAACACATGACCTAATCATTATGTCACTATTTCATTATGATCACTCCTTGCTCTGGGGCTATATTGCATAATACATAATACACCTTTTCTGGATTTGCCCTTGAAAATGGAAACAGCAAATTGGGACAATATGCGCGCCATGTTTCTTTCCAGTATCTCACTCTTCAAGACAAATAATTTCATTGAATTTAGTTTGTTTGCTGCTTCAAAAATGAGCAAAAGGATTGTAAGGTTTGAACTGGGAAGTTGGAGTTCTGTCCACCTAGGCACACCACATTTTATTCCAACTCCCCAACTGTCCAGCCAGATTATCACATTGCAACATATTCTGAATTCCCACTCATCTCTTTCTAAGCAAAAGGGAGGGGGGGTGGGGGGCAGGGCTGGAACCAGTATTGAAATGGAAAATAGGGAATTATATCAGCCGTAAATGTATACACTGATTCTGTGATATTTCACTGCCCACAGAGAACTACTGCATTCAAATATGCCTTTTATCTTCCCTGATCCCCTTGAAAATAGATGTGAAAATGCAACACACTGAGCTGGAGGCTGAATCTGACCATGCACTTTGCAGTATGGGGAGAGCAGAAGTTCTATCAGTTGTTTACTGTGTGTTAATAATTTACATACAGAGCTTTGTTGTATAAATAAAAAGCCAGCTTCAGTTCTGTGAGCTTTTATGTGGGCTTGCTGCTGGTACTCACAACTCATAAGAAGTTCATGAAGATGCCTTACATTAAATATTTGAGGGTATGGCATTACTTCCATGAAAACAGTGGGCCCAATCCACCATCACTTCAAAGAGACTTCTGTCAAAGACATTTTTAGTGGCCCCAATGCTGCTTTCTATCCCTTTTTTACAGGATTCAAGAGCTTTCCAGATGACTGGTCCTTTATTATATCATTTGACCCCCTATCCTTTTTGGTAATATACTTTTATATTGGCCATTGCCAGTCTGTTTTTGTTACAGTAAACTGAGTGGGGTTTATTACACACAACAAAAAATGAAGCACAGCATGACTTGCTTTATTTAATGTGCCAGAAAAGAATGATGCTTTTCAGAAAGAAAAGAAAAGTGAATAGCAAATCAATATGACTTCAGCTATTTAAATATTCACTTTCTTTTTGCAGCTTGTCACACTATCTGCCAAGTTATAGCTGCTCTATTTATTCTGTTTTGTCAGTCTCCACACCATGTGTCTTGGGTTCTTACACCGAGGGTCAAATCCTGGGAGTCCTTATTCTTTGACGTCAAAGAGAGCAGCATAAACAGAAATGGATATTTAGAAGCTGCTGCAAAATCAAATGAGTGGTTTACTTGTTCTTTGCCTACTATTTCTAAAGGACCAGTCTACTGTCATTGTATGTTTAAGTCAAATATTGTTTTGGGTGGATCTAGAAGTGCTTTCATGATTGCCCCAACAGCCAGCCATAAGCATTCTATAGACCCAGGGTATGGATTGTGGACTGGGGGATGAAAGTGTCCCTGTGACTGTTGCAAAGCCCACTAACCAGTACCCTGCAGGGCCAACTTCTGAAGACAACAGAGAGCCAATGTTCCTCAATTTTGTTTAGATTTTGGTCTGTCCAAAACTGAGCACATATGAATCCACAGTTGCTGCTGCAGTATGGACTTGTGTGCATCACCAAGAATGAGCAAGAAAAGACATGCTCAAGGTACCTACTGGATAACAGCCACCACATGGAGCAACATATACCATTATATAATATGTCCCAGAGTTAGTGGTCTACGATATCTATTAGTGTGCCCAGAGTCTCTCTTGTCAAGTTATGCAGAATGCTAAAATAGAACAAATACAGAAAGGTATTGATTTTGAATTCTCTTTCTAATTTTCCTTCACCCCAGTAAAAATCATGCTTATGTCAATGGTTCTTTCAGCTAATACGTTTAAGGCAGTTGCATTGGTAACTTCTTAATTCAGCAACACAGATTCATGAGAAACAGCAGCGAATTATTGCTTCATCTGACTCTGCTTTCTCCTAATATGTACTGTTGTTATTAATTAACAGCAAAAATTGAGTACTGTTTTAAGATAACATGCATCTTTGTATGATATTTTAGGTTGTTTGTATGATATTTTCTTTGTACGATATTTTTAGGTTGTTAATTTCACAGATTTTCTAAAAATGTAAGAATAGCAGAAACAAGTCACTACATAATTTCTGTAAAAGCAGAGTGTGGGATTCAAGCCTACTTGAGCAATGCACCTCCTGACATGAAAACTGTAATCCTTAAACTTAGATGCAAAAGGAGAATGAATCTCTGCTCATGCCCAAAGGCACTCTTGATATTATTATTCCACATGTTTCAAGGCTGAGTTCTGGTAGTGAAAGTGTTTCTTAGTGTGATTGAGGCTACTGTTTGAACCAGTCTTACCTGGGAATAAGTTCTATTATATATAGCTGAACTTTAGAATTCTATTGTAAGTCAAGAAAAGTTTATGCCTCTCTTCCACCAGTATTAGAACTTTTATCAATAATTTGCTCTTGCAAGTATATTGAATTCCCCCTTTCTCTCTCTCTATTTTTAAGGAGGTGAAAGAAGCACAGGACATGGTGGAAAAATTAAAAGAAGCTGCTGCAGAATATGCTGAACCAAAGGTGATTTATTCTATTTGCTGTGTGGGTCATTTTATGGCATAATTACACAGATGCTTTCCCTTGCATTTTGTTTAGCTATTTACTTTTGAATTAAGTTCAGTGTGTTGTTGTTTTATTCAGCTTTAATGGCATGTATGAATGACTCATATAGTTATCTGAGCACACCTTTATATGACTTAGAAACCAATGTGATGTGTTGAGAACTTAAGTAGGGTCTTGTTGATCATATCAAAGAATCTCTCTAGCATTGTGTCAATCGTTGTAACAATGACCAGCCAAAGCTTTCAGAAAGTACACAAACTGGACATGAAGGCAACATGAAGAGAGAGAACATTACAAACTCTCTCTCTCTCTCTCTCTCTCT